GCAGCATGTGAAGAGCGATCTACAATAATCTTTTATTGTACGTACGATAAAATATGTAAGGCGAAATAGTTTTAATGTGAAAAGTTGCCAAACAAGGAGAAGGTTCACCTGATGATAAGTGAATACCGCCGCCCATGGACATCTGCTACACCCGAGGGTTACAGATGCGTTGACAACCTTTTGAAAATTGGGCTCCGGCCACCTCACTCACCAGACGAAACGCGAAACTATTTGTCATACTTCCACTTTACGCTGGTCTTCTGTAAGGTCGTGGTACTTACCCGGATGGGCCTGCCCATTCGTGCAACAGCCGAGGCTGCTGCGTGGCCCTACCACCATTTTTTATTATCTTAATTAATTTTAATTAATTTAAAAAATGTAATTTATAATTTAGTAACACTTGGTCTTTCTTTTTTGTTCTGATATGGTCTTTTATTTTGTCTTCTTTCATTCGAAAACTTAGGGTGATCACCCTATGAGGTCACTGACCAGTTCACTATCTACTATGTTAATCGGGTCATAAGGGAATAAGCGAGGATTAGAACCTTTTATTATCACGGTTGCTACAGATATATGATTTTTAGGGTTCTGTACCCAATGGGTAAAACTAAGACTCCGCTGTCTGTACGTCTATCACCAGGCTCATGAACCGTGATAGCTAGACAGTTGAAATTTTCACAGATGATGTATTTTTGCTGCCGTTATGACAATTGTTTTTTAAAAGTATACGCAACTAATGTTTCACAGGTTTTAGGAATAGGTTCATAATTGACCACAATGAGGAAAACCGCCAAGTTTAAACGAAACCCATAGTCATGCAATTCATTTCACGTGATTGCTTTATACAACTGGAACTGTTTATTAATTTCCTCGAAACTAGGATGTCGAATGATTAATCTATTGAGAAAATTTTAGTAAAATCAAGTATACTACTGATTGTACTGCTACTATCGTAACTGGTCATTTGCTTGTAGTAGGACGTATATTATAAAAAAAACTGTGAACTGGTCAGTAGGATAATATACATGTAATATACTAATAATAGTAAAAGAAAACAAAACAAGAACAAATCATTTGCAATTAAAAAATTTACAGTATATAAGACATATTCACTTGAAAGTTACAATTTACTGACAATTTTTGGATAGACAAAATCCGAGTATAGTTATATTAAACCTTGGGTAAACCTTGTGGGTTACTTATTGAATGGCAAAATACATATATTTCTAACTAGCTGCTGCCCGCGACTACATCTGCGTAGAATAGGCTGAAGGCGTAAGATTCAGACAGATATACATACAATGTGTATATAAATTATAGCCTATTTCTTATTCTGATGTATAAGCTATATTATTGTAAAGTTTCATTAAAATCCATTCAGTAGTATTTGCGTGAAAGAGTAACAAACATCCATCCATACATACAAACTTTTGCCTTTATAATATTATTAAGGATTAGTAACTTTAAATCACTATCACGTAAAATACACCTAAGTTTAGTGTGCTACTTAATCGCAACAACGTCTACTGTTTCATGAATGTCACATCCTCAACGAAGACCGTCGTGAAGTGGAGGTATTATACTTTCGCCCTTCGTCTCGTGAGTGAGGTAGTAGGGGATTTGAAGATGAGTAACGAATCTACAACCTCTACGGTGCTGTAGATGTCTATTAGTGCCGGTATTCGCTTAAGACCAGGTGTAGTACAGTAACAATGTAATATTATCATAAAGTAATAATCGTGAATTTATCTAGCTCAGTGTCCGGGCGCTCGCCTTTAATCCAATTTACTCGAGCAACCTGAGTTTGAACACTGTTAATTTTAAGTGCTGACTTATTACGTGCTCAGCGATGAAGAAAAAAACTCGCGAGAAAACCTGAATATTTTCGAAATAATGACGAGAAAATTTTTCGAAAATATGTGAAGTCCAATCCGAATTGGGGTCGCGTGCTGATACCCTCTTTACAGAGAAGGCTTTTTTCCCAGCAGTGGGACTTTTATATACTTACTACCTAGTTTAGGAAAAAAATCTATATTTTTTACTATTTCTCAAATTGAGACACGATTTCAATCTCTTTACCTAACGAAATCTAATGTCCCAGATACCATACATAACGTCGTGTTTAGATGTCTGCTATAATTGATTCCGAATATCAACCTGCATTATATTGTGCATTCAATATGAGAATATACATGATAGCAGTGTGGTATAAATGTATACTTCACGCAATGCAGTATGTATGGCATGAATATATTATGTTGTTAACGGTGGTAGGGCCACGCAGCAGCCTCGGCTGTTGTACGAATGGGCAGGCCTGTCCGGGTGGTTACCATGACTTCGCAGAAGACCAGCGTAAAGTGGAAGTATGACAAATACTTTCGCGTTTCGTCTGGTGAGTGAGGTGGCTGGAGCCCAATTTTCAAAAGGTTTTCAACGCATCTGCAACCCTCGGGTGTAGCACAGGTCCATGGGCGGCGGTATTCAATTACCATCAGGTGAACCGTCTGCTCGTTTGGCAAATTTTCACATGAAAAAATCAATTAAAGAAGAAAGTTGAATATATGTATAAATAAATAATGTATGTTGTATAGATATTATGGTGACACAGGTACATTTTTATAACAAGAAACAAATCGAATTTAAATATCTTAGTCACAATACATTTTCTGTTTGATCTTGTGGAGTTCCCTGATGACTCTACGGAGTCCAATAACGATAAATTAATATGGGACCACAAGGGACTTAAACCGAACACAAAAATATTTTTTCAGACAACTTTAGTATTCGTAATATACGTTTGATTGCGAACGTACTATGCAATTTTTAGTCGACATTCTATCCGTATAAACTTTTATACTAGAAACATTTTGGTACCCGACAAACCGTACTAAATGTTGTTATCATAGCAAAAATTATTCCGAGGTTTATACTATGGAAACGGTAAAAACATATGATTCGCGAATTGAATAGAAACATTATTTACAACAAGCTTTTACGCCTTAAAATACGCGTACAACAGACTGAGATGATACATTCCGTGAGTTAATACGCAAATTTTATTCAATGGAATCAATATTGTGGACATAAATGTGAGCAAGCGAGAAACACTCATTTTACTCCATAATTTTACCGGTTCAATATTACTAGCTAATATTATTAAAAAGAAATATTTTCAAAGTTCTTCTTTTTATCACGGTTGCTATGTCACTGTATAAAAAATATAGTTAAATCAATAAGTCACATTAATTAAGTAAAAAATTGTACGTTTATACGTATTTATATAAATACATAATATCAGTTTGGAAATGCGGTGACTTTTTGAACGAAATTGATTTCCATCTTAAATCAGCTCTAGAAAAAATTCTAAATTTATCTCTTAATGAATTAAGCTAGACTCAAGCTACGCTGCCAATTCGTTTTGGTGGTATCGGTGTAAGGAAAATTTCTAGTGTCGCTCTACCTGCCTTCCTTGCTTCCGTGCATAGCGTAAATAATTTATGTAATAACATCCTTAATCACGATTCAGAACTTTCCTATGCAGAGGAGGCAAGGATGTTTTGGCTGTCTATCTGCCCCAACGAAAATATCCCACTGGAAGTAAACCTACAAAAACAGTGGGATGTTCCTTTGGTGCGGAGAGTACAGAGAGATACGTTTCAATCTTTAGAAAGTAATTTAGAGCGAGCGTGCCTGTTTCCTAGGCGTCTCATCTAAAGAATCGAGTTATTGGCTTCATGCTTTACCATCAAGTAACTTGGGCACATTACTTGACGATGAAAGCTTACGCATTGCTGTAGGAATCCGTCTGGGGGCACCGATTTGTCAACCACACCAATGCCCTTGTGGTGTCAGTGTAGACAAATTTGGTCTCCACGGGCTTTCTTGTCAAAAAAGTGCTGGCCGTTTTTCCCACCACGGTTCTCTGAACGACATCATCCGTAGGGCTCTTGTTTCCATCAATGTTCCATCTATTTTAGAGCCCTGTGGCATTTTTCGCGACGATGGTAAGAGACCCGACGGTTTAACATTGATCCCTTGGGAGAGAGGCAAAGCCCTTGTTTGGGACGCCACTTCTGTAGACACTTTGGCTTCCTCTCATCTAAGGGGTACTTCGGTCAGGGCCGGGGCGGCATCGGAGGCAGCTGAAGTAAGTAAATGGCGCAAATATGAGTCTTTATGTTCAGATTATGTATTTGTGCCATTTGCTGTTGAAACATTAGGTCCGTGGGGTCCCCGCACATCAATTTTTTAAAAAGTTTATGTCCTAGGCTTAACGCCGCGGCTGGTGACAAGAGAGCTGGTTCTTTTCTCGCTCAAAGGTTAATGCATAACTATTCAGCGAGGAAACGCAGCTAGCGTTCTTGGCACCATGCCTCGTGGATTAGGTTTATTAGATAATATGTAATTTTAGATAGATTTAATCTTGTAAATATTAGATCAATAAAGATTTATATCCATTGAAAATATATATATATATATATATATATATATATATATATATATATATATATATATATATATATATATATATATATCTATATATATATATATACATATTGTATAGTGTTTATGTAGGTTTTGGAATATAGATGTATTTAATAGTTTATTGTATTCATGTTTGTGTTCAGTATATTTGTATAAAATGTACCATCTTTGTGCCTTTTAATTTTTTTAAATTGATTTTTGGATTGCACCCACAAATTTTCACTTCTCCCAGGTTTGAGTGGAAGAGGATGCTTATTATAATTAAGTTTGCCCTTTGTTTAGCTTTATGTTGGGCTGTAAAAAATAATTTTTTGAAATAAATACACAAATAAAATAAATAAGTAGAACATTTAGAGTGAAATGTATATGTAATATGTATATTTTATTACTACACTATAGAAAATGTTTTTATAAACCAAAGTTCCTTCTAGAAATTTCCCCTAGTTGTGATAGTTTCATTGATATATGGCAAGTCTACTCTTGATCAATGACGGCACGTGACGCAGTTAGTAGTTATGTCCGAAACAACCGGTTCTCGGCGTGGACACTCAACACCAATAAACGAAACAGTTGTGTTAAGAGGTCGGTAGCGTTCTGTCATTCTTGGAGCCCTATTAAATCCATTCAGTGTACTTATCCATTGTTCGTCGTACACCGTGACAGTGTGAGAGTTTAGTGCGGCATCAGCGATATTATGGGATAGGTGTGAGCAACTTTTTTATCATTAATTTTATAAATTATTACCATAAAGAAAGACTTGGAAACTAAATCATACGCGACGGAATCCGAATATCAGTTAGAATGTATTAAATTAATTAAACGAATTCAATTAGCTATTATTAGTTATGATATCTTCTACTTAGTATTAATTGATAATGACTATAGTTTTTTTTTACTTTGTAAACTTAAATATGTAATCAACTTAACTTATAAATACGAATGCACACGGATTGAATCACTAATTAACAATCAAAATACTTATGTCTACTTTATACAAAATACCCCATAGAAAACTAACTCGGGAACCAAAACACTTTATTGCGATTTGATTTCCAGTAAGATGTAATGTATATTTAAAATTTAATAAGTATCTACACTTCAATATAGTCCTTATGTGTCTCATCTTTACGGTCAGTTTTGAATAAGAATGTTTGAGACGGAGTGAATGATCTACAAAATTGATTATCTGTTATTAAATTAACATAAGTTATTTATAAGATGTATCTTCTGTATTCTACTGTAGTAGAACTACAGTCCTGCTGTGGCACAAATAGGCTGGTTCTTTCGGGACAGCATGTCCTTATTGAGGAGAGGTGTGAAATAAAAGTATTTATCCTTTTAACTGTTATATATCGCAAGTGTAGATAGATCAAAGAGATTGACAATGCTATATATTTTTATCACGTGCTCAGTGGTGATGGAATAAATGTGAGACGTGTATATTTTCGACATGATAACAAAAAAAATATTATCAAGACATGTGACGTCCGCCAATCCAAAGGGGGATCGCATGGTGGTCTATGTCCTAATACGAACTGTGCAAATACTATTTTGCTTTCCTTTTATTTCTGCATTTTTGTTTCAGAGTTGTTTCGCGTAACGCAATGATCACAATAGCTTTTGCGCTCTTCACGTTCATTGTGCTGTACCTTTACGGTACGAGAACTTTTAAGTATTGGGAGAAGCGAGGTGTAAAATATGTGAAGCCTGTTCCGTTCTTCGGCACGTACGGCAGCGTTTATCTTATGCAGAAGAGCACCACTCAGGTCAATATCGATGCATACTGGAGGTATCCAAACGAGAAGGTGGTGGGACAGTTCTGGGCTTCTAGACCGCAGCTGCTGATCAGAGACCCGGAAATTATCAAGCGGGTCCTGGTAACGGATTTTTTACATTTCTTCCCCCGTGGCCTAAATCCGCACAAGGAGGTGATAGAACCACTTTTACGTAATTTGTTCTTCGCTGATGGTGATTTGTGGAGATTGCTCAGGCAGAGGATGACGCCAGCATTTACGAGCGGTAAGCTGAAAGCAATGTTTCCGTTGATTGTTGAGCGAGCCGAAAAGCTACAGCTGCGAGCTTTATCCGGTACGGGTGGCGGCCAGGTGCTGGATGCACGAGACTTAATGGCACGTTACACTACAGATTTCATCGGAGCGTGTGGCTTCGGACTCGATGCTGATTCACTTAGCGATGAAAACTCAGCTTTTAGGCAACTCGGCGCGAAGATATTTACGTTCGGAGCTAAAGATGTTTTCATCGCTATGCTGAAAGAGGTTTTTCCCAACCAATGCAAACATCTAAAGTATTTGGGCCGCGTGGAGAGAGATATGATTGATCTTGTTACGAGTGTTTTTAAAGACAGAAATTACACGCCATCGGGACGGAACGATTTTATCGATTTGCTACTGGAATGTAGGCAGAAAGGGACGGTGATTGGAGACTCCATTGAGCGCATAAAGGCTGATGGTACCGCGGAAGTAACGACACTCGAGTTAGACGACGAGCTCTTAGCTGCACAAGTTTTTGTGTTTTTTGCCGCTGGCTTTGAGACGTCCTCATCGGCGACTAGCTTCACGCTCCACCAACTAGCCTATAACCCCAAAGTACAAGTGAAAGTTCAAGAAGATGTTGACAGAGTTCTAGCTAAGTACGATAACAAGTTATGCTATGACGCCATTAAGGAGATGACATATTTAGAGTGGGCATTCAAAGAGGCGATGAGAATATTTCCGTCACTCGGCTTCTTAATACGAGAATCCGTAAGAAAGTATACTTTTACCGAAATAGATTTGACCATTGATGAAGGTGTAGCAATTGCGATTCCCGTGCAGGCGCTACATAATGATCCGAAATTTTTTACAAATCCGGAAGATTTTAGACCGGAAAGATTCAGCCCCGAAGAGTTTAAATCGATTGAAAAATACGTGTATCTACCGTTTGGTGCTGGACCGCGAGCATGCATTGGTGAATATTATTTTTTGATTCCAAGGAAATTGCAGGTCACTTGCGCCTTATTCAGCGGGAGGGTTCTTTTGGTGAAAACTTATGACTTTGCTTACATTTGTTTCCATGTGATATCTGTGGTTATTGAGATTTCCACCTGATAAAGGCTATATTAAAATAATTTTATAAGCTCCTGTACTTATATGATTTTGAAATCATATTATGTTGTGGTGTAGTGGTGTAGGTGTGGATAGCCTAAAAATGACTAACTGCTTAAGATAGATTTTAAGGATATTATTATTTAATTGAGTGGTGAATGTTTTCAGGTGAACGATTAGGTCTAATGCAGTCACTTGCAGGATTGGCAGCCGTACTTTCGAGGTTCTCGGTTGAACCAGCGCCGCAGACCTTGCGCTATCCGAAGGTGAATCCAGCATCTGATATTGTTCAAGTCATCCAGGGTGGGCTGCCCTTGCGCTTCATTGAGAGACCGGCGAAGGAAAATAATTGTTCGTAGTAAAATTCGCTCGCGATGTAGATGATACAAAAAATAGCAACTGGCTAATTAATATACCTAATATCATCGCTAAAACAATTATCATTTTATTGCGTAGCTTATAATCTGTGATACATTATTTATAATTCAACATGTGGGTCTATGTGAAAAGATATGAGTTAATTTGCTTGTATGTCTGGAAATAAAAAGAACTTAAAGAGGAACGTGACTATTTTAATTATGGCGGTCGATACTAAACAGTAAATAAGGTATTGCTTATCAAACGATTGTTTAAACCTCACGTTTTTCCATTTTCAAATTACTTTTCTATGCCATTTATGATATTTTTTTTACGACGACTAGAAAACTATATTATAGATGCAAAGATTGTTTGTAAGTATGTCGGTTCATTGATACTAATCCAAAACCGTTCTATAACCACAAAGAGGTAGTTCATATAAATAATCTTATCATAAATCATCTGTCTTTAATTAATACATAGAATTTAATATACATATAGAATAATATAAATCTTTATTGATCTAATATTTACAAGATTAAATCTATCTAAAATTACATATTATCTAATAAACCTAATCCACGCGGCATGGTGCCAAGAACGCTAGCTGCGTTTCCTCGCTGAATAGTTATGCTTAACCTTTGAGCGAGAAAAGAACCAGCTCTTTTGTCACCAGCCGCGGCGTTAAGCCTAGGACATAGAATTAACTTATCGCTTTGTATTGACCATTTAAACTTTTCGACGTATTAAAATATGTAAACAAGTACATACAAATCTTAAGTGAAAAGATTAGCACTATAAACAATTTAAATTTTCGACGTATTTTTTTTGTTTCTTTATATAACCTGCTACTTAGCAATCTGTTTCTACTAAACAATAATCTAATAAGTTGTCAGATTTTCATAAGTGAAACTATCTCAAGCTAAGTCGTGCATCCAACGCACCTCATCTTTTGTCTGCGAATCTTGTCGCTAGTCTTCGACGTATTAAAGACAAAGTAATCTCAGATTTTCTCAAAATATGTTTTGGTAAATTTTGCCAACGGTAATTAGTTTTCATAGCAATACGATCATCGAACTGACTTAATTAGTATTTAGAAGAAAGGATAGATATACATGATGTACAAATTGTACAAATAAAGATATACTAGTAATGTTTTTTTACTTTCCGCCGAGTGCAGTGCGCCGTTTTCTTTAAACTTGATTTTATTTTGCGTAAAGCCGTTGTCACCATAAACACTGCGTAAGTCCCATTAGCAAAAAGTTTTCAGTTCCTTTTTAATGAACGAGAAGTTAGAAGTTAAGATTTATAACCAGCATACGAAGTGAACTTGCTATTTTGCAGAAAATGTTATATTAGTACTAGGCAATTTTCGCACAGTACCATACATAAGTTAGGAAATAGTAATATAATAATGTGTAAATAAATATTTAGAATTGAAATGTATCTTATTTTGATGGTAAAATTCAGTCTGCTTCACTATCTATCATTGAAATAAATTGTCATCAGATGGCATTGTCATACATTATTTATAAGAAGCTGTTTAAACGATTTTGTTTGTGATAACATTAACTTTACAAATGCCCGTGGGCGGCAGGTACCACTTAGCATCATCTGGGTGCGGCGGAAAACGCATTTTTAAATTTCGTATTAAGTACAGAGAGTAGATTAAAAAATTGAAAATTACATTTCAATAACAAACGCGACTTCTCTAGTTTATTATTCGTTGTTAAAATGTTATTTAAGAAAGTGAAATTGCTGTACAGTAATAACATTAATAACGCCGAGCGTTACTACAAATGCAATAAAGTAGATAAGACATAAATAAAGTAAATGAAGTAGATAAGAGAATCTCGACCGCTTAGCTTAATGCCTAGAGCGTGTAAAAAGGATAATCTGGAAGAAGCAAGTTCGATCTCTAGCAGCGGCGAAATATTTGGTGTCTTCCTTTTCTTCTTTTTTCTTTATGGCAGTTTTTAGGCATTCGGCAGTGTGAACGTGAATATAGGAAAATTACTAAGTGGTTTGGTTATAAAAATTCAAAATTCAAAATACTTTAATTCACATAGACGCTTGCGCGTTCTTATAAACCGTCGAAATTTTACATTGAAGTTACCATTCGTAAGTTACCAGAGACAAACAGATTGGGAAGATGAACATTTGGTATCAGTGTTATTATACGTTTGCTTCTGTAATTGGTTAAGGAATGTGATATTGCTAAATATAATAAATCGCATCTTGTATATTTTTAGCTTGATGAAATAAAAATGTAAATAGTCTGAGTGTGAACACTAATTGCGTATAACATAGATTTTCTGTTTCTTGGATTTTTTGAGAAACATCGTTTTTTTTTTACTTTACTTTTTAGTCGCTAAGAAACATCTGGTCTAACCTGTTAAGGTTAAGTATGTAAGGGCTTTTATACGTTCATCTGCTTTTAAAAGTTTAAAGTTACTAACAACAATAAAAATATCTGTTTCGTCGTCTAATTTATCTTTATTTTGCTTTTTAACAATCTTTTATGTTCAAATGTTAATTTCATTTTAAAGATATAATATGAGTTAACCAGCTTAACATCTCAGCTGCGCACGTATTTTGTTAAGCTTCCAAGACATGTGCTGCATTTAAAGCGTTGTGCAGTGAGATGAAAGTACGAGTCAAGATTTAACAATACAAATAGAACAAGTTTTTGCCGTAAGCATTTGCAATGTGTTACTAACTTTATTCACTTATATTCTACAGAACGTTTGTTTCTTTAGAATTTCAGTGAGCAGTCTAGTCTTAGCGGTTCTGGTATAGATCCGTTTTAATGTCAAAGATTTTTACGAAGAAATCAGTCTTTGCACATCATTAATAAGATAATTTGCACTCGATCTAAAATACTACATTTTCTTAAATACGGCGGTGAGGATGCCTTAAAGTGAGAAACCCAGCATATTTAATTTTTATAAATCAGCGTTAGATACTTTATTAATTTAACTCAACTTTTCAACATATTTCGGAATGAAATGTTCATCAAGCATGAGAAAGACTGTAGTTTATGCCAAGCAGAAGCCAGTGTCTCAGCGTTGAAATTATTCATTATAGCTAGAATTCCCGTATCTAACCGTAAATATAAAAATGTAAACTGAATAAAGATATAATGAAGTAAACATCATGAGCTTTGTTGTGGTGCAGTACTGTGCAGTTCTCTCACAAAGATCGGCGGCGTCTTTGTGAGGAGACATGCATATTTTTGAAATAATAACAGAAATAATAATTCGAACATATATGAAGTCCGTCAATCCGCAGTGGGGTCGCGTGGTCGACTATGCCCTGATATCCTGTGTACAGAGAAGGCCTTTGCCCTGTAGTGTGACATTTATAGGCTCTTACTTTACTTTTTTTTACTTTGACTGGAAAACAATCATACGGCCCCATTGCAAAGTTTATGGGGATGTGCACGAGGACGTCACAGACATTAAAGCATAAACAGATGTGATTTTCAGTTGACTGTAATTTGCAAGAAGCGTTCGCTATGGGGCCTTAGAACAATTGGAGCCAGCGTGCTATGACACCGGTAATTAAGTGCGGCTATAAATTGTGAGCCACGATTCCTACTGGCGACGATAGTATGCACCATTTGTCTGCGGAACTTTCGCCGGGAGTCAGAGAAAAGCGATTCTTATAAGAAATCATCCCGATTAGGGATGATATGATATATGAATGAAAGTCATTGTTCGAGGGTAAAAAGGTTTCTTGTGTCTATGAGTGTGCGTGCATGTTAATTAACCCTTGGGGTTTCTTGCGAATAATCAAAATCAGTATCTCTTCAGACATCTTTTTAAGAATCACAAATTCTCCAAGTTCTCCCAAAAAATATTAATTTACGCTTGTTTTAATTTGTCCCATTTTAAACGATTAGTAACGTTTTTAATTCATAGGACTTTTACTTGTTTCAGTTCTAGTACTTTTTCAGATTTACACTTTTGTTATATCTGAATTATTATGATACAAAATCTATTATTCATATTGTAATTGATTCAACATGTGCACAAAAATTTAAATATTTTGTAAAAATAAAAGATTTTAAAGGCATTAATTTGTTAACAGTAGGCAGGAGATCACCCCTCATGTTATGATCCTTAATGATTTTTTTATGTCTCTGTTAGAAGGAAGTTTCACTACATAGTATAAAACAAAATCGTCCCGCTGTTTGTCTGACCCTATGTATGCTTAGATTTTTAAAAGTACGCAACGGATTTTGATGCGGTTTTTTTTTTCTAGATAGAGTGATTCAAGTGTATAATACATTTCACCGCGAGTCGCTAGTATAATATAATTTCAAAATCATGATTTTCCTTTTCAAGTCGATATGTATTGACTTATAATCATATATTGACGCCTAACATTGATTTGAAGTGAAAGTATTGAAAGTATTAGTTCTATTAACATTTATCAACAAAATGGGCATTAATGTTTTAAATAGTTTGGCTGGCTCGGTTGTAAGTTGTTCGTCCTTTAAAGCTTACCAGAGTAAGACGCTTGAAACTTGGCTTCTTGCGGGTATTTCAACATTATTAACAACATCAAAAAACAAAACAACATTAATTCATTCAACAGTCGGTCGTTCAATAAGGATGTTCAAACATTTTTAGATGACCCTCACAGGGCCTTATATTTTATTCACAACAAATAAAACGACGATGTCTGAATAGCGACCTGATATGATCTGATTAATTTTCATGTACTTAAATAAAATAGTTTACCACTCTGATTATTATAGACAAAACTTAAAGTATTAAAAAATATAAAATGTAAAATCAATAATAATCCGTTTATTATACCGAGGTTTATAATGCAATGTGAAATAATCATTTCCAGTTTTCCAGCATAAAATAAGAGCAAATGACGTAATAATATTTTACATTCTTCTTTAGTTAACATCTGAAAGACCCAAATTTTGTATGAAGTTAGCTTTTCACTGATATGAGAGGAATTCGAGAGAGATGCGATGAAA